CAGTCCAACGATGCTTCTCGCCCGGCCTCGTTTCCTGAGTGTGGTGTGGAGGGGGCGGGGGTCATGTTTGCCGGAGCTTGAAACTCAGCAGTCATTTCCATCTAGTTCCGATTTTAAGAGTATTTGGAAATTATCTCCACGTCCTCCATACGCCTTTTTGCGAAGTTTTGGAGTGACATGTGCTACAAGATTTGTAATATACATCGTTGAACGCGTCAAATCTTTTATTTCCTCTGTAAGTTAAGTTTAATGGTCATTTTAGTTTCTTTGTCTGCTGAAAGTACGCGGACCGCGGGGTGAACGTGTGTGACGAGGCGCCTTTGGCTGCATTGTGTTCCGCCCTGCTCGAGCCTAACAGACCTTTGTGTGGTGGTGCTTGGTTGTAGTGACACGAAGGCGATGGTGTGCTGGGCGATGAGGGCTCTCTTCTTGTTTGGGGGTTTCCACTGGGTCACTGTGCGCGGGAAGCAGGCGTCTGCCAAGGACGCTCCCATCCTCGCCCTGGCATCGCATTCCACTTACTTCGACGCCCTGCCCGTCGTGCTGATGGGCGGGCCCAGTGTCGTCGCTAAAGGCGAGACCGGTCGCCTGCCGTTCTTCGGAAGTACGAATACTCACTCAGTAATATGTCTTGTTTCTGTCCGCTGCGCGAACTTGATGCGCAGAGATACATGTTGAGATTTCAGGTACTCAGGGCGACGACTGTGATTTGTGCCGTTTTTGACTGGTAGAAATTAACCGACGTTTCAGAGGCTCATACTGCCCCGATGATGAATGCACGACAACCCAGAAGACAGTCATGATCATTATTATTCATAATTTTAAAATTTAAAAAAAAATCTTTTCCAGGTCCGTATACTGTTATTTTACTGACCGCCACGAAAAGAAAAATGTGTTTTTAAGACGGGAATGCCACCGTAAATTTTCATCCAGAACACAAAAAACTGTTATTCGTAAGTTGCTGCCACCCACAAAATGACGGGGAGACTGTGGGATTTGATGTTTTCACAGCGCACAGTTCTGGGCTGTGGCACCGGTTTTTTATCAGCAAGGACCTCAGAAACGTCGGTAAACTTCTACCAGATTGCAGGGCTCTTTCTGATTGCAAGAAAGTGTCTACACTGATCATTTGTCTTAATTAACTTTCGTTGTTATTCGTTCCTTTTTAGTGTATATATTCATTAATGTTTGCTTGTTATGGGGTCTTTGCTGTTGGCAAACAATCTGATAAAGGAGTTGAATTGAAATATTATGGTGCATGAATCATATTAAATTACCCATGGTGATGGATTGTTGGTACTAAAATATCTTGGTGCTGGTAAAAGAATCAATCCAAAACACGAAATGCTTTGACAATTTGTCAATAATGAACTTCCTGTGCGTCTCCCAAATGGCTTCCTACCTTGAGTAACATGTTCATTGCACTGAGTGGTCATCCTATGGGCTTTGAATTATTAACGGTGTACTTATATTCCTTATTATTAGCTGATACTCTTGTATATAAATCGGAGAGATACGTTTATGTGGCAAGAAAAATAGCGGAAGATGACAAGTCCTGAACACGTAAATAATAATGAGATTGGCAACAAAGACACTTAATACACAACAATCAAAGTGGTTCAAATACAGTTACTTTTCTGTGACTATGAAACAGCTGTTTACGTAGAACGAAACACGGGATACATGAAATTAGGCGACGGAAGACAGATGGATGAATGAACAGGCAGACAGACTAGGTGGCAACAGAATGTATTTAGCTAACAGCTAGGTCAACGAAACAGAATTGTCGGCGCATATGAACAAATGACTGTCGTTTGTTAACGCGAAGTCTGTCCATGTTACTACATCCGAACTTCACGGGAGTCGAGGTTTGGTACACTGATAATGGATGCCGGTTAAGCGAACAATTGGGCTAATAGCCCAGGAAATAATTAACATGCTTCTGTAAATATTATCTACGTTTGTCACGCTGTTGGACTGGTTTGGGTTACTCGATAAGGTGGCGGTTACACTTCAGTTGGACTGAATGACTGAGTCACGTGTTGTCCGTCACCTAGGAAGCTGAACCCGCTGATTTGCTCGCTGGGCAAGAGCACGTACCAGGTTGGTGGTATGAGTCTCACTGTGAAAGGACGCCAGGCGTCGCGAAAGGAAGCCCCCATTCTAGTTGTGGCGCCACATTCTACATTTCTAGACGCTGGTATCACGTATGTTACCGGCTTTCCGTCCATTATTGTACGCAGGGAGAGTGGACTGAACCCCTTCATCGGAAGTACGTATTGCCCACAGATCAGTTTCTCACTTTGCAGATGTAGAGGAATTTTCAGGCGAATTCAGCCTTAATTTCATAGCATATGACAGTATTTTTATATTCCCAGGTGAAAACATTACCATCGTAAGTTTTAATTTATGTTCATTAGTTTTATTACCCTCTGTCCATCCCCACTTTCCGCCGAGTGGTTATCACTTATGCTTCGTATGAGGGAAGCCCAGGTTCAGATCTCGGGTAGTAACCGGCTATCCTGACAAGGTTTTCGTTGTTTCCCTTTGAACCTTACAGACGAATACCGGGATAATGCCTTCAATTATGCTATGACCGCTTCCTTCCCAATCCTGTCTAATTTACCAATTAATATTTTTATTTTTTGGCACTATGTTCTCTGAGCACACTGTACAGTGTCATTAAATAAAATAAATATATGCCTACATCCTACTGTGTCCTGAAAAGGAAGTTCATACTACACCAAGAATGACGTGGGTTAAAAATTGTGGTTTGTTTTATTGAAACAAAAGTTGTAAGAAAGTTGAAGGATTCAGAACATAAATTTAAAAAAAAGTATTTCTGTAGAGTAAATCAAAAAAGTTGTTAGATTCAGAACACAAATTTATGAGAATTTATTTCATTTGAGTAAAGTGACAAAATCATAACAACCAATCCTTAAGATATTACACCAAGTGGCCAGGAACAAAACGTGATAAGAGGTGGATTTGGATGTGACCTTATCACTTGTTTGGTCTCCTGCTTTGTGTTACCACATAGTCGTGAAGGTGGTTACCAACGTTTAGCTCCATTATCAGGATACAGGAAATATTAATATTTTAGAGAAACGCTGGTAACTCCCTACAAGGTTACATGCTGGAACAGCCCAAAAATCCACAATCTACAACATTTTCAGTGTCATGAAAACCTCAGATCTCATATTATGATTCATTTGTCTCATAACGTTGCAGTAATATGCAACTAACATCACGGTCCCCTTGTTTACGAGTCACTCGGTCCAGTAGAAATATAATTACGTACCAACATGTTGCACAAAAAATTATTGTTATGTGAGATTTCAGGTTCTCATGGTGGCAAGAATGAAGATGACTGTCTTCTGGGATGCTTTGCCAAGTAGTCTGGTAGAAATTGGTCAGTGTTTCAGAGGTGCTTACTGCCTCCATCATCAAGGCGATGATCGCTTCTCTGAAATGTCAGTCAAGCTCTTCCAGACTGCATGGTGTAACACTCCAAAAGACGGTCATCTGCGTGACATAATGTGTTTGTGAAACTCTTCTGAATACACAGAGCTGATCAACTACACGCAGCCTATTTATGTGTGGCGAGAGGACCCAAACTCAAGGCAGAACACGATAAAAGAGATAATAGACCGAGCAACTTCCGACCAGGATTGGCCTCAGGTACGTGGACGACGTATTCAGTGATCACTTGTGTTCACTTTTGAGAGGCGAGTTGTTTTAAATCATTATGAAATGATTATCTTATTTATTTTTTCAGTATGCATAAAAATCATTTCAAATTACTCTGTGATGAATAAATTGTTGCTTTGTATTTTAATGCGTATTTCACTTGTTGTGCAGGTTTTAATATTTCCTGAGGGTACGTGCACGAATCGTTCATGCCTCATCACATTCAAGCCAGGAGCATTCTACCCAGGTGTACCAATCCAGCCTGTCTGCATTCGCTACCCTAACAAACTAGACACAGTGACATGGACATGGGAAGGTCCTGGCGCGTAAGTTGGATGAATTCCAGGGTTTGTTGTAAGATTTCTCTTGAGCCATTCAGTAACAGCGATAAAATTTAGGTTAGACAGGAAACACATGAATAATTGCAATTTTATGAACGGTGTCATGCAAGTGTGCTATACCAGCATCAGTAACAACCCACAAAACCCACAATGTATTTGCGGACTAATATATTCACACCGTGGAGGAGAGCCCTTGATATGAACTTCAGGTAGTCAAATTCTGTGTCTTGTCATGATTTTAAGGTTTAGCTTCATGTTCACAAATACCCATCGCAGAATCATATCTTGAGCCAGATGATTTCAATCCACTGATTCATTCCCTGTTTCCTTAAGAATATTTTAGGCAAACATTGTCGTTGCAACAGTAATAGCAGTATCCTGTCACTCGTGTAACATTTGTCATCACAAAATCTTCAAAGATTGTAGCACCCATTTTCGAGTATCATAATGTATGCAGGTTTCTCGTATTTATTTCTTGAAAGCCTTTGCTCTCCCAACCAAATATATTTGTGTCGGTCTGTTTAGACACGAACGCTTGGCTCAGAAATAAATGTGTTAAAAGATACAAAAAGTTTTTGTTGTGTCCTGACCGACCTCGCGAGCAGAGTACTTATTGAGAAGCCTTAATCGCTCAACTACTCAAGAAATTCACTGACTTTTATTGAACACAGAGATTCATTAACCATGTTCAGATCACCTGCTGCCAGGTCCTATCTTGATCCTGATAAATCATCACACCCTATTTATTTAATACTAGTTTAAATAATGACAATGTTTTTCTGGATTGTGATGCTGTGTGGACTTGGAGGTAGTTACCAACATTTTTGGTAAAATTGGTGTATACCTATGAATCAACATGGCATCACAACCTAGAAGAACAACATTGATCTCTTCACGTTAAATCTTACAATTTTAATATTACTCTCTGATCTATGAGTGGGTCTTCAAAGTGATCTCTTCCCTACCAGTTTTCTTACTAAAACATTTAATATATTTCTCAGCTTCCCGAAGCATACCGAATGCCCAGCTCTTCTGACTTCCTTTAAACAGTTCACCCAGTAATAGCTGATGAGTAAAATTGGTGAAGCTCCTTGTTATGGCATTTTTTCCATCCTCTTATCTTTTTCTCTACCTTAGTTCCATAGTGGTCTGTTTTCAAACACACTCAATATATTAAATATTTCCATAGGATGACATATCAAGCTTCAGACCTATACAAACAACAGGTAAAATTATAGAACTGTATATTTTGATTAAACATTATATTTTTAAATAGGATGGCAGAAGACAAAATGCCTCCGTGTCTGTAATACGCAGAAAACAAAAGATACTTTCCCTCAAAAATATGCCTAATGCATGTTTCAGGCTGAAGCTGTTATGGCTGACCCTAACCCAGGTCCACAGCAGCTGTGAGATTCAGTTCCTGCCAGTCTACACGCCTAATGAGGATGAGAAACAAGATCCCAAGTTATACGCCAACAACGTGAGGCGTCTCATGGCAAAGTATGTTCAGTTGAACTTGCGGATTTCTGTGGAGAAAGTATCAACATTTTGAAGATTTCTGTCTTCTGGGTTGTTGCGCTGTGTAGTCTGGTCGATGTTAACCAACGTTTCAGACGTCATACTACCTCTGTCATCAGGGTGATGATTCATCAACAGCGCAACAACCCAGAAGACAGAAATCTTCATACTCACCGCTGTGAAAACCTCAAATCTTACATATCAACATTTTATTTGATGAAATTGTAATTTAGTGTCTTACGTTGTGTGTGTTTTAGACATCTCGGAATACCCGTTTCTGATTACACGTATGATGACTGTCGCTTAATGACAAAGGCGAAAAGAATGAATTTACCATTTGCATCTGAACTTGTAGAAGTACAAAAGTTGAGACAAAAATTAGGGTAAGTATCTTTCTGTTCCTAATCCAGTTAGTACATAAAAATATTGTATGTCTGCTGTCATGTATAATATATTAAAACTTTTAATGCTACCCAAATGTTGTAATTAAAATCCTTAAATTACTCATTTGGAAATTAACTCGTGTGCACTAATTAATATTTTAATTATGGATTATTGTTTGGTAATTAATTACATGCAAGATAGATTTAATTATTAGTAGTAAGTGACTGGTCTGATAATGTCAAGATATAGTTAAGTTTGCATGGTGTGGCAAAAGATTACAAATTCTTATTGCTGTCTTCACAGCAGTGAGGATGATAATGTTCTTCTTCTTTGTTTTGGTGCTGTGTAGACTTGTCGGTAGATGCCAGCATTTTGGAAAGACATACTCTCCATATTCAGCAATGAAGATGGAGACAGTACATATCTCCAAAACACTGGCTTCCACTGACAAGTCTATACAGCACCAAAACCTTGAAGAAGAATATCATCAATAGAATTTTTATGCTCTCAGCCGGAGCATATTTATTACACTGTCAAAGATTAACATCTGTGCATCCATTCAAACCCCTTGGACCATGCGCAAGTAATTCTAATAGGTGTCTTTTAACAAGCGCCGCAACATAGTGGCGGAACATTGGCATTGAAGAGTTGTGCCATAATTTGACAGAGTATAAAGTTTATTTCATCTTGAGAACATTTTACTCTTTTTATTTTTCAGTCTGTCGCAAGCAAATATTGAAGAAAAAATACTCACGCAATCGCCCCATATTATCACAAATGAAGGCGGGCAAATCTCTTACAAGGAATTTGCGAGACGATTGGAAGTTCCTTCTACAAATGAAGTTCTTCAACAGCTATTCAGACTTTATGACAAGGTAGTCGTAATAAGATTCCGAACTGCATGGTAGCAAACGTTAACCATATTAGCCCGCTCTTAATTTTCTCATGAATTCAATTGTTATTTGTTAACGTCATTCATAAATATATTATCCTTGCACTTTGAGGGTGTTTTGTCCTGTTTTCTGGTAATGAGACTTAGTCTTCTCTGAATTTAATTCTAGACCAACTTTTACAAAATGAAATTATGGTTAACATTAAATTTTTTCTTTCTTTGATGTGTAACTGAGTTTTAACATTTTTTGTGGATTACCATGTTTTTTTTTGTGTGAGGTGAAAATATAAGAAGTTTTATGCTACATATGTGTTTTTTTACAGGACTGTGCAGGTATTATTGACTTCCGGGAATATCTACTTGGAGTTCTTGTAATATCAAAAGCTAGTAATGTAGCGGAAATGGTGGAATTAGCATTTAAGGTAACATATTATACAGGGCTGTATCTTTAGCAGTACGCAATCGCATGTAGCGAAGTTGTATGAGTATCTGTATGTTTAATGCGCCGCACACGTTATGTTACAGATCTTTGATCGTGGAGGTAAGGGAAATGTGTCTCAGTCAGATGCGTGCAAAGCACTTTACCACACACTAGCAATGCCATCAGAGGAGGCACAGCGTGTGTTCCGACAGATCGATACAGCAGGGAGAGGTTGCATTACGTTTGGTAAGTGTCGATCAGGTAAAATTTTCCTTACTTTCTCTTCTTTTTGGTGAAAGTTTGTGTGTGTGAAATTGAAACTGGATTATAAGTATTCAGGTTGTTGCCATGCATTTTTGAGAAGATGGCTTCGTTATTTGGATACACACACTTGTAACGACATTGCTTTCTTTGTGGTCATATGTAATGGTGTGACATACCAGTACCTGTTTTTATTAAAATACACAAATAAAAATCTGTCGCTAACAAGAGATGAAATAGAGATTAACATTTATTTTTAACTCCCCACATAATGGTACCTGCACCTTGTCGTGGTGGTGGGGCTTGAGTACCTCAGTGACCGCAAGAGCTATGCTGGTGGTAGCATAGCTACTGGTAGAGCCTCCCTAGCCAGATTGGTCAAGGGGGAGAGGTCAGACTAAGTCAGGTACCCTGGTCCTCCAGGTTGGGGGTTGGTCGCAAGGCTAACAACCTTGCACCGTAAAAAGGAAGATGTTTCAAAACCTCGGACAGACGGACCTAATGGAAGAGGAGAATTGAGGAGACCATGGACATAATATGGACCGGAGAGCCATAGAAGAAGAAGATTCATTTTTAACTTGAGCCTTGAATTTATTGGTCACCTTCTTGTCTGTAGAACTTGCGAGTATCCATCTCCCATTCCCAAAATTTGAGTATCAGCACTTACCCTTTTACAGAAAAGTAATGCACTATGTAAAACATATATATAAAATTCCTGGAATTGCTTGAATGGGAGTATATCTGGTATCATTTCATGTGTTGGCAGAGGGATTATTTAAGGAATCGCGCAACAGAAACTAAATTTTATTTTCGAAAATCAAAACTTGGCCGTCACGATATAAGAATCTCCCTCTTTGAACAGCTTATCCTTCTGTTCCTAAACGATCAAGAAATTCTTCTTCATGCCAAAGAGACTTTCTGAACTATTAAAAAATTATAAAACTGCATACCACATGGATTAAGGTACAAAAAAAATCAAAAAAATATTTTGGGATGATTGTGGCTAGAACATGTCAACAGATACCCAAATTCCTCAACTAACAGTTGATGATCATGGTCTTTTCTGTTCTTGGGGGGTAGAAGGAAACTTTTGTAGCTTTAATTCTTCTCCTTCCCCGCTTGAGACTAAACATAAGCCTGCAGTCATGAATGTCTTGACTGCAGTAAAAACTCCCACATAGTCAATGATGTTTGGGTACTCTCCACCTTCTTCTTCTATGGCTCTCTGGTTCATGTTCGGTCCATGGCCTCCTCAATTCTCCTCTTCCATTAGGTCCGTCTGTCCGAGGCTTTGATTGAGGTTTCAAAATATCTTCCTTTTTACGGTGCAAGGTTGTTAGCCTTGCAACCAACCCCAACCTGGAGGACCAGTGTACCTGTCTTAGTCTGACCTCTCCCCTTCGACCAATCTGGCTAGGAGTATGTGTAGGATGGGATAGAGTTTTTCATCCCAATAAATATGATCTCTTGTCAGATACAAGCTCCAGTTTAATTTAGAATCTGATCCATAACCTTGGCCTAATATTCACAACATTTTTAAAGATTTAAATTTGGCAGACGTCGGTAGGCACGTGAAAAAATCCGTAACTGGTAGTTACGATGTTCCAGAAACCAATAAATAACAAATTAATTTATTATTTCTACATCTTGCTCAGAGATTATTTAAATTTTACTGAGATTCTTGGCATGTGCATCCGAATAGTCAATGTCAAAGAAGCTTTTTATGACTCGGACCACAACGCAAGAAAGCATCTTTTTGTGTAAATCTTATTGTAATTGAACTGGATATAGAATGTGACTTATATTTGAACTTAATTTATTTCTTATATGAATTTGTCATGCTTCAGATGGATTTAGAGAGTACGCAAGAAGGAAATCGGACTATTCACATGTATTTCGGAGACAAGAGGAGGAGGAAGAGAAGAAAGCAGCCACTAAACTCCAAGTTTATGATTTTCATAATGCAAATTATAAAACAAAGGCTGAGTGAAGTGGTATCACCAATCTTTCTGGCTTAACTTATTAATTCGGATGTAACTGATATGGATGATACATATAGTTTCAGTGTATTTTTACTAGAACAAAATATCTGGACTGATAATTGTATTCAGAGCTTAATTTTTCCAGACTGTAGAGGTGTTACATATTAAGCTCTGACCTCAGCAAAATTAAAGTACAGATTTTTTGACGGAAAACAACAAAAACATTCTATATATCGGCATGTCGCGCGTCTGAAATATAGCCTTGTATGGTAATAACAATTTAAAGAAACAGATTTGGCTAAAGACGTACGATAATTAACTCCCCACTGATGGTGAAAATGTTATGGTAACTTAAACTTCATGAACAATTTTATGTACTGCATATTAATTTAATGGTGCTGCAATAAAATGTAGACCAAATCAAACAGAAATACTTGTACTGTATTTTCTGTTTCATTTTTCCAAAGTAATCTCTGGCCCTGATTTTTCAGTTTGCAAAACCAGATTTCATTATATGTATTAAGAATTAATAGTTTTTGATGAATATTACTGCCAATGTTTTTGCAATTTTGAAACAAGAAACGTAAAATAGATCACAGTGCCAAAGTGAGAAGCATGGGAACCACAGAAGTAACGAATGAACTTATTTCTCTCTCTTCCCATTTATCTCTTATTTTTTGTCTACTTTGCGATAATCATTACAGAAATTTCAGTCAAGAGAGAGCTTATACAAAAAACTCAGAACTACAATTTCCAAAATGGTTTACTAGCAGAATGCTTTTGAAAATTCTGATATATATATATAGCCCTTTTATACATTCCAATTTCTAAATAAGTTTTATTTTTACAAACTAACAATATATCCATGCCCTGCTTCTAGCTGATACAACTATTATAGGTTATGTCAAAATATTTTGATGAAATGGAACCCATGCTTTCATTAATAATGAGACAACTAGCAACGTAAAATTTCTAGAAACAGCAAACTAATTGATTTGTACTGACTAGTTGCATTCCTGATTTTGCACTGTACCAAAACAAGTGAAGAATAAAGTTTGTGAAGTGTCATTTATACAGAATGTGACTTCATGGAGTTGCGTGGCGGAAGTCAGGCTGAGTAATGCCACGTGTGCTCTGGGTGTAAAATAGCGTCATCGAAGAGGAATTTTAAACAGAAAACTAAAGTCTGGCCAGCGGAAGGTAACGTGCCTTGAGACGTCCACTGATCCATTGCACCTTGAAGTACAGCGTCTCATATTAAAAGATACTACAGCGATTCACGTCCTGTCTTGTGTGTCTTCAGATGAAGAGATTTTTTTTGTAATGAAGTATTTCAATGCGTTGGTTCACTTGAGATGTTTTGACTTAGTTTGGTAAAAATATATTACTCGATAAAGAAGTGTGCATAATCAGTGGAGAAACAGTATGCATTATGATGGTAGTTCAAATTTAATCCAGAATTCTTGCTGCTTCGAGATTTCTCCATCAGTTTCAAAACTGATTTTAAAAAAATACGTCATGCCAGGATCAGACGAGTAATATACATGTCGAGGGCGATATTATGATAGAAATGCTCAGCGTGAAAACAGGTATTAGTCGCAAGCTACGATCAGAATTCCGGATCATAGAAAAATTGACACAACTGAGAACACGTGATATTATTAAGTGATTTATGCCCAGATACAGGACAGAATAATGACAATTATCAATGTGGAATAATTACTTATTTTTTTATACTCTTATGTTTATGACAATGCGTGAGACCTGGGAAATAAGTCATAGTAAATAAATAACTTATTGCCATATTTATATTTAAATGTGTGTGTGTACAGAATGCGTTTAATATCTTAAGGAAATTTTCATTTAAATATATTTACCATATGACCTATTCTATATTGCAATTGCATGTACATATTTAAACTATTTTAGGTATAATTTCATTTAAATCCAACCATTTATTATATTATCGCTGATTGTTTATTTGTATCAAAGAACTTTTTCACTTTTCACATTCTTATAATGTATCAATAAGAGTAATATGGTATATATGGGAAAGTAGCTTACGTAAGTGATGTTTGATTTGTATTGTATTTTATGTTGTATTAGTGGACTTTTCATAAATGTAATTAATAACTGAGAATAAATTGAATAAACATTAATTTTAATCCCTTTTCATGCGTAGTCGGTCAGCTAGGTAAACAAAAATTTGTATTTTCATTGGTTGTGTATAAACAAAATCCTATGAAGTCTGAGATAGTAGTAAGTGGATTAGATATGTATTGTCTTTTGAATTGGAAAGAACTTCCATTGCCGTGGATCAATTTACAGACAGCCAGAATTTGAGTATTGAGGGTGTAAGTCAATTTGAAATATTTCTAAACAGCATTATCTTATCAGGAAGACGAATAAATCTGACAATCTGTTCTTGTGTCTCATTGTATTTTTACTAGTATAAATTATGAAAAAAAACCTATGCTAAGGGTTAGTATATACAAAATTGTGAACTTAGTAGGATAATATTAATAGATGAGCAGAAGTGCAGAAAGTAAATAATTTCAGACTGAAGTAATTACGCCAAATATAACGAGCATCTTTAAATACTAGAAAATGTGAGTGTACTCTTTCGTATCAGTACTCATTTTCATGTCTTGGTATGTTTATGTGCAGAGTCTGAGAAAATACGTGAAGTTCATTTTCTAAAATTTAAGACTAATTTCATATCAAAAGTTATTTATTTGTCCTGAGTTTATGGTTTTAGTGAGAAATTATTTTCAACTAGATTTTTAAATTGACAGCCTTTGTAATTGAAAATAGCTAGGAAGAATTTACATTCTACTTAAGAAATTTTAAAGAAATGGTCTTGTCTTTACTTTCCACTTAATTTTGTGAACTAAATTAATTCTAAGACTATGTATTCCTATGGGAGTCTTTGCAGTTAGCATTGCCGCTAGACATCGCATCGTATTGATTAACCCATCGACACCTTTTACGTCATGAATTCCATTTGCAATTTAAGTACCGAGAAACGATTGGCTAGCTTACATGTAAAAGAGGCTAACTTGACAGTAAGAATATCAACGCTACAAATCATTTTCGTGGTGTTTTAGATAATTACTTTTACAGGTTTTAAAAACGAAAAGTTGCCCTTGCACCGCGAAGACGTGTAGGGGCGTGGAGATAAAGTCACACTTATTCTAAATCTGGATTGGTGGTGTGAGTTTGTCTTTTTAAGGTGGATTAATATATATATATATGGAGCGACTCAGAAGAAGATGGTTCAGCCAGTTACTTATGGACGAGAAAGTATGACCACTTTTCGACCATGGAAACTTAAAAACCGGAAATAATTTTCGAAGAAGATGTCGAGGTTTTAACTTGATACGTTAATCGATAGATGTCGCGGATCGATGTGATGAAGTGTGCGTGATAGAGGGATATTTAATTGAGTTTGTATTTTTGGATCATGTAGTTGAAGATTATCGATATAAAGCGATTTTCCAGTTTTAGTGATTGACCGTGATGTGAAATGGTGGTTGCTTCCGCGAATGTAGTTGTGTACAGTGAAGTTCGGGGTGTTTCGAGTGTTGACTTATAATTATGTCTGCTGTTGGTGACGTTACGGATTGAATTTTGTGCAAGGAGGAAATAAATTATAGCCATATATATTTCCATTTATAATTGTGTTTAAATAGACTGCTTACCTCAGCCAGTATGTTGACTGGCTATGTACTGGGCGACGGGGTTCTATCCCCGACGGGGTCAAAGGATTTTTCCTCTAGCCTCTGCGTCCAGACCGGTTCTGGGGTCCACCCAGTCCACTATCCAATGGGTACCGGGGGTAAAGCCCTCGAATAAGAAATGGCAATGTGATAATTAGTAAATTGGTAAGGGGTGAGTGAGAATGGTTCGTAGCTAACACAATAAACGGAATTTTGGTGCGGATGCATAGAAAAGGTACGGGCAACGTAATTCAGGGTAGTAGGTTTTATGATCCAGAATTTAACTAGAATTAACTGAAATTAAATCAGGAACTCTTTCTACAACGGCGTGGTTTGGCATGGTTATTTACGGTGAATTTTAAAAAGCGACCATGTTCTGATCAAAACTCAATTTAGCCAAGAGAAGTGTACTAATACAAGTGGAATGTTGGCGTTGAGACTGACCTGCGATCGTGAAGCTGGTACGAAGTCGTCGCGAAGTGGACGTCTAGTGCTTCGTGAACAGACTTCATTTCGGGCGATTTGATGCAATAAAAGGAGACAGCAAAGAAAGGTCAATCATGTGTTTTTTTATTGCTGTTGGATGAATATATATGTGTATATATACAGTCTGTCCGTAAAATAATGGTTGGGTAACAAACAGTCATAGTTTTGGAACAAATCACGATAGAGACATGAAATAAACGTCAAAATAAAGAGAAACTCTCCAAGAATCGTATCTGTTCAGTAGATTTCGATGTGCGATCCTTTAGTTGCCCTGCAGACATCAAAACAATATTCAAGCTCTTGCCATACACGACCGAGAACATCCGGTGTGATAGATGAAACAGCTTCAGCGATCCGTTCTTTCAAATGGTCCAAATTTGTTATTTGGACAGAGAACACTTGTTGCTTCACATAACCCCACAAATAAAAATCCATAGGGGTAAGATCTGGAGAGCGTGGAGGCCAGGCTATCCACCCTCCTCGTCCGACCCATCGCTGAAGAAATGTTTGGTTTAGGTAATCCCGCACGAATGTGG